TTTTTTTTGTTTTTGGCCAACACTTCAAAATTGGGATATTTCACATAAAGTCAGATTTCTAGCTTCTATTGAAAAACTAGGAAATTGGACTACTGGGCCCACACTTCTGGGAGAAACAGTCAGTCAGCTAAACTGAACAGCAGTAGGTGCTCCCTTATGCAATACATGAGATTTCCAGTTTGCTACAGTCATCACCACTCCATACCGTCTTCCCACAGTGATGCCAAATGCTAGTAACCATATGTCATTGCTCTTGCAGAAATGCTTATCTGTACTTATGGTTCTTTCAAATGTGGGAATGTAAAGACTGGGCCTAGAAGACTATTTTTTTCCAGGAAAAAAAAAAAAATAGAAGCCAGAGAGTGCTCTGTTGTATTTAATAGATAACAAATGTCCAAACATCTGACCCTTACTTTAGAGACCTTGTTGTCCACTGATTCAAGAGGGGCTGACAGGGCTTGGGTTGCCAAACTTGGATCTCGATGAAGAAATAGTCCAAGCAAGGGGACAAGCCGAGGAGCTGCTATCACAGTGACTGAATGGCTGCAGAGAAGCACCTCTATGGAACAAGAATAATGAAGATAATTCAAGAATCAGTCAGTGAAAGTTAGACAGGAATCAAATGAACATGCTGATCAATTCTAAGTCCTATCCTCGTACAAAACTAAATTTGACTCGAGAGAAAAGGCAACTGGTCAACCCTAGTCAGCCACCTAATACCCTATTTAAAATTAGGATACATTGGGCTGGCCTGGTGGTGCACTGGAGAGTGCGCCGCTTGGGAAGCACGGCGGTGCTCCCGCCGAGGGTTCGGATCCCATGTGGAGACCGGTTCCCGCTCACTGNTAGCACATTTCCTAAACAACAGTGCTCCAGCCAGGCCCAGGGTCAGCCTGTGGTTTCCACCCCTCCCTGGGCAGGGGACAATGAGAACCACACCTTTCTTGAGACATAAACGTGTAAGTGGATCAAAGTAGGGCAGTAGATTTTATTTCATCAAAATAGATTAAAAACAGACTGTGTAAAAGAATTAGAAATCTCAATAACTTACTAGTATTTACATTAGCAGATGCTGGTCGTTAGTAGACACTGTGAGGAGCCCGGCTGGCAGGACCCACATCCTCGCCCTTGAGCCCACCCCTGCAGGTGCTCTGGAGCAGAGGGGCTGCGGGCGGGGTGGCGGGCCGGAACGAGCAGCTCCTCCCGAGGGCCACGTGGGCTCTGGGCGGAGCTCGCAAGGGCGGGCGCCCAGGGCCAGCGCCCCCTCCCGGGAGCCGACACTCCCCGGTCATGCCCGACCCTCTGTGCAGGCTCCTTTGCTGGACCCCAACCCCGCTCCCAGGTAGAAGATGAAAAGCAAAAACAAAAGCCACACGTCCTGGTTCCCAGGGAAACTCTGGATTATCTCACAACCCCTGTGTCATCCAGAATTTGGCGACTCGTCAAAATCTCCCTCGGAACGTTTTGTGCGTTGGACGTAACGGTGGGGAACGAGGGTGGCCGCGTGGCCCTGGGCCGGAGGCAGTGAGGACAAACGGGCCAGCGACCCTGTCCCTGCAGCCTATGTCCGGCCGCACGGAGCGCGGGAGCGAGGGGGGGGCCAGCAGCGGCTGGTGG